GTTTATTAATTATGACATAAATGTCAGTGTATGATATTTATAGATTATGTGTGTACCAGTTTGAGATGGAAAATCAACATTCTTATTTCAGTTATTCTTGGAGAATTAATGATAAAATGAATTCCGATATGGCTCTGCTGTGTTTTGGCTATATAACAGAAATTAAAAGTGTACACAAAACAAGTAGTGATATGTTTCGTTTGTAGAAGAAAGAAAATATCCCTTTCTTCCTTTCAGTGGACCGGAAATTGTGTCTAGATCAAAACAGATCAATTTAATTGATGGCTATATTTATTAATAAGAAGATGCGCGGAAGTGGCGTGTATATTAGAGACAAGACAAGTGTCTGGAGCCTAGTTATATGGCCCACACGTCTGTACTAGCTGTGTACTGCCAGGGTAACGACACACACAAAACCATTTAATAGAGGAAATATTATTTCAAAAAGTGATGTAAACATTTTTATATTATTTATTTTCATTTGATGCAATACGTCATTAGAGGATGTTAGCGTGTATGTTAAGCTATAAACTTGTTTCTTGTGTAATCCGACACGAAGTAGATTTCCCCTATAAAGTTTTCAGAAGCATACGTTGATGTAATAAAATACAATTACCAAATATGGGTATTCACTAATTGGTGATTATAGATGACAGGCTAGCTGCCTCCTGAAATCGACAACCAATAATGAGAATACAGTACACCTTAAACAAAACGATGCACGTGTCATAATTAATTAAAACTGAAATATGGGTATCTGTTTCAAACACGAACACTATGAAAATGTATCATATTAAAAACAACACCCATGCATATCAAATCAATTTGTACCAATTACAGTAATGGAAATTTGTTTATTTCAAAAACTGTTCCGGCACATGATTTTTTAACTGAAGTTTGGAGCATGACGGAAATACTCTATAGTGGTGCTCAATAGTGGAATGGAAACATGTTTGATTTCAATTTATTTTTGCAAGAATGGAATGACAAATAGATCAACTGGCACCATTATCAATATAGAATTGCATGTAGCAAATGGATAAAGGTTCTGAAGTGAAGTTCTTTATTTCGTGTGTTTGTATGTAAAACTCCCTGACGACTTATAAAAAAATTGGCAAAAATGTAATAATTTCAATTATTGGCATGATTCTTTCTGAATTCCGTGAAAAATTATGTTTTTGATTATGATACATAAATACGTATTTCTATAAAACCAGATAGGTACCTGGATATACGTCTATATCCATGTGACTTTACATACAAGTTTATATTTTGTAGAACCGTGTGTGTAAGGGACATGTCTATATCAGATATATACTATATACAGCTAATATTTTCTCACTAATGTAAAAGTGTGGCCCGGAGGTTTGATTGATGGACATCGCGAGATGTTATCACGCCCCCGCCCCGTTAAACACGACCCCCGGGGTGAACAACACACTTGTAGGGCTAGTTAACACGGCTTTAGATAGCAACGGACATAGACTGACCAGCGATAACGCTAGCACTACTACCTAAACACTCTCTTTTGTTATCACTGGAAACCCACAGAGATCCACATGTCAAAAACTCCTATTGTTAAAAAATATCTTGGCATATCTGAGCAAGTGAAATGAAAGGCAGGTATTTGTCGGCGTTAATAGAAAGACAAACAAACACGATGTGGCTCAATAGGGTTACGATAATACTGTCAGCATTACGTAATTATTAGTGTGATAGTCGTGTTTACCGGTGAGACTACTAAATTGTCATAACCGGTTCGGGGAATTATTTTTATAATTATCATAATTTTCATGTTTTTTTTTTCCCTCTTCACACATCTTTGAACATTTTTTATTAATTGAATTAATTATTGACTAATGCTATTTTAATGAAATCCAATAATTTTCCAATTAATTGATATTTCTAAGCATATCTACCGAAGCGAGTCAGTGAGTTTGAATGAAATACCTAAAATATTAATGGCAGAATAAATAGAAAGGAAAACACAGGATTAATACCACTGTTTGTCAAACAGTCGGCATCAGTCATGTTACAACAACTAGGCTGGTATACAAACAAACACGGTTATAGCCCAACAGAAAAGCCTACTGAAAAGAAACGGTTATAGTTTAGAAATGAAATGTCAGTAAGTTAGTATAATTACTGGTAATATTGGTTTGTGTGATTCCCCGCGGAGATATAAAGACAAGGCTAACTAATAATCCCTGTAACATTACCAGTACGATACTACTAAACAATGTAGTGTTATGTACATGTAAAAATATTTCTCTTAATCCAATCTATTTTAGGATTAATAAGATTTACAGATATTTACGTAAATGAGTAAATATTGATTTTTAACACAAATCCTGTACACTTTGTTTTTAATGCATGTTTTAACAGGATTATTTACATATATGTCATGAAATATATGATAACTCCAGTTTTCCTTTATTACTGGACAAAGTTTGTAAATTATCTGTATTGAATGATTTTTAAGTTGCCACTAAAATTTCACATTAAATACTTTTTTTTTTGATAGTAAAGGAAAATCAGATCCTATTTACCACGTGTTTTCTGAGATATAAGGAATTATAAGATAAAACGTTTAGACGTACAAAACAGTTAATAATAAATTGTAAAACAACAAAAAAATTACAGACCATAATACGTAGAACTCAGAAGTCACACAATACACACTATTGATAATAAGGCGTTCTAAACCCCGGACAGAAGTTGGGACTGATTATCCGGCAACTAAAACTATATGAACCGTGTATTGAGGGGCAGAATTCTCCATGGGAAGTAGTGACGTTGTCTTCGGGGCGAAATGCAGACGAGGGGTAAAAACACAACACCACAGATAGCAGGCCACATCTCGGGAATGGCAGTGATAGAAGGAGATTAACTCCAGATAAAAAAATCGCTAGGTATATATACTTTTAATTATGCATGAGCAAAAACAGGAGATAAAATAGGGGTACAAGATAGTCGAACAATTCGCCCCATTTAGAAAAAATAAATACTCGACTTCATTTTAAGTATGTGTCGAGTCACCAAGTTTATTCATTTGTTTTTTTCTTGTTTTTATTTGGAAACCAAAAAATATATATTAGGATTTTTTTTCTGTTTGTTTTTGTTTTGGTAAATTTGTGATTCATAACAAAAAGAATAAATGAATTATTGTTGAAATAGTATTGTATTAACAAAAGATATAAGTTAATGTTCTAAAATGTGAGATACATATTAATGAGAATTAATATAACATAATTACAGTGAGTACCAAACAAATACACGGCACACTAGAAGCATCGGTGTCTACAGCGAAGACATACAGCTATAGAACACAGCGAGTTAAATCTCATCGACTAAAGCTATCGATTCTTCGATCTTCACTCGACTGAAAAGGTGATTGAAACGTGATCACCTCTACCGCCGTCTTTAGTCGACTCGGAGCACCTTGATTGGACTATGGCACCTGTGTCAGGCAACTTCAAAGATACACCGCCAATTGACCAGTACCTCAGAACAATCAATCTCTGTTTGTTGTAATTTCAGTTTTAATTTGGATTTTGGATGAGTTCGTTTACAAAGTATGGTTTTGAATTTTATCAGTCATAATCTTAACAATACTGACAAAGCGCGTGCTAGGTACAAACTGTTACTGTATCGTTACACATATAAGATTTTTTGCTATTTCATATATATTTCTTTAAAAATACATCATTAATATTCCGGCAAAAATAATCACGGGTAAAACAAATAATAATAAGAAAATAACAATATAGAAATAAAATAACCCCCTTTTTTTTTTATTCCAATGATTACAGTTAAACTTGTTAAAGATCTTTAGGACAAATAATTTAGACGACCCTTGGTAACACTGAGGGTGGCATGGTCATGCTTCAACGACCGGATATGCAAATTTCCACTTTTCAAACACGTTGATTTACGACGTTATTTAACCAAACAGATCAATTGAATGGACGCTTTGGTGTAACTGAAATGTCACCTCCGCGCTGATGAAAATTGCTAGTTTAAACTCCACTGACAAAACGAACAAAAGGTATTATAAATTCTCAGTTACATAAAAATTGTTATAAATTTCCCATTAAGCTTTAAATCTTCAGGCCTTATCTATGGCATTTTTAATCCACAATATCTTAAGACTTTCTCAACCGCTTTCAAAGAAAGGGGAAAAAACAAGAAAAAAAAATATTAAAAAAAAAAAAAATATACAACAAAACAAAACATACAAAAAATGATAACATGAATAAAGTCAGTGACCCAAGGCGAAAGTTCACAAAACCTTCAATTTTTTTCTGAAAACCTCTATTATGAGGTTTATAGTATAATTATGACAAAACTTTCCGGCTGGTTGATCTCACAAGTACTAAATAATAAATGTATATGGTTTCACCTTCGTGAATTTTCACTTTTCATATATTAATATATCAATTACACGTGAGTCATCTTATAAAGATCAAAAAGATTATTCTAACGCTTTGCTTAATCTGTAACCCTCGGGTAATATATATATATATATATATAAGTTAAATAAAAAATTAAACATCAAAAGAATTGTTTTCTAAAATACTTCCCTACTAACAGCCTATATATGTATAAAGTAAAGCGAATCCTTTCTCATACGTGATGTAATACGTCAGTCTCAAGCCGACTGGTTCTCCTAGTTATGAGATAGCGCCTGTATCACACCTCGGTATGAATGAACGATAACAATGCGTTGCTACCTCCTCGCTTTAAAAAACCACTGGAGTATTACATTTTACCCATCGACTGACAGCTAGAAAACCTCCCGCAGATAATTTGCCGAGTCGGATCAAAACCAATCAAAAGTCTTGTTACAAATTTGATTATGATAATTACGATCGCGGCCACATTACAAATGCTCTATTGATAATCATATTTTCGACATGCGCATAAGGGTATCTTATTTGTAAATCAGAAAATTGCAACACAAGAAGTTTTGTCATTCGCTTGCTTACTATACCTAAGCAATGTCACGTCGCAAGCAGCCTGTTCCTCGACACATTGAAACAGAGGATGAGCTTGCTACCATCTTGCAAAACGGTAAGTTTGTTTTGTTCGGAGGAAATAGGAGTTTTGTTGTTGGGCTCTCAGATGTTTATTGTACACAGCGCTCGCTCATAACACAGTAACGTGTGTGTTGTGTGTGTGTGTCGGTATTTGACACATGGTGGTTTATTTACTTGGGATTCGCGACCTTACAAGTACGACCAGGAATTACGAACGTTGGATGGACATTGGTTTTAACTAGTGGAGAGATTCCAGGCATTTTGACCAACTTTTCATTCACCGTAGGTAAATACTTTCTGTTTGTACGTACTACCCATGCTGTGCGTGCGTGTGTGTATATTTCACGTTTGAAAAGTCCGCGAATAAACACGAGGAATCTGTGTAAAAGAAAATACCGTACAAAGGTAATATTCTTAATCAAAATACTAAGTATATTTATCTATTTATGATAAACTCGATTCTTATTTTCATTTAGATTATAGGTTTGAAAAAAAAAGAAAAAAATTAATGATAAAGAAATTAATGTTTGATAAAAATTGGTTACAATTCGTAAATTTGTCTAAATCATACAATGTTTAACATAGTGTTAATTTAACACAATTTTTCACGTACAGATTGGACGTAAAAATCTTCTGCATTGAAGTGTTTTGTTAAAAAAAAATCAATAATTATGCACGTGCTGTGAAAGTGATTTGACTCTGGAGATTAGGGTTAGGGTTAAAAGAGATGACAGATACTCCACGCTGGATTATATTTTAAGATATTTTGGTGCAGGATAAACCCTCTTTAAGCTACATTCGGCAGTGTTCAAATATAAAATCTTAAACACACAGGTATGTGATTTTTTAAATTTTTCCATTCATTTCATTCCTCATTTATTTTAAAATGGTGAAGTATATATTTTATAAAATATTTGTTCATATCAAATTATTGTCAAATATTATCAAAATGAAAATGATGTCATTAATGAAATAATGCCATTTTTCCTTAGTTTTATAGTATATACTATAACTTGTAATAAATAAAAAAAATAGTATTCATAATGTTTATTGGGAGTTTTAATATTAGATGTTTGTAAATGGGGTTTAAATTTCACCCCTGTTATTTAGAATTGTATTTGTTTTATCAATACACTACATATCCGACAAGAGAAAATAATCTGCAGGCGTGCTTTGAGGCAATAAATACTCCAATCCCACTGAACTTTATCCTGGTGGCTGCTTCCATATCGTCTCCAAGTTGTACTAGACTCGAGTCAGACATGTCACTGCTTCGGTAAAAAGTATTAGTAATATTCCTTGTACAAACAGGGTGACATGAGTAACTCATAAGAAATCGACATTCCCTTTCCTATCAATCTTTAAATTTCTATACAAAATCTTGAAGATATTTGATAAATAATACACAATGGTAGAACTGATAATACCTCTAAGACCTGTTCTTAACAAAAGGATATTAGGAGAGAAACCTAGCCTGGATACCTGAAATCTGGGTTGCCAACTGGATAAAATTGTATCAAAATGTTATTCATTTGCTATACATATTTCAAATTTGATAGTCAATATCCTTAATGATAAATTATTGTAGATATTTTGCCAATGAGTTATAAAGGGTTTACCTGTAAATCTTACCTGTAATCAAGTAGTCAGATAAGTCAATTACAAAGGAAACACATTCCTCTGTAAGGCAAAGAGCGATATAGCCAAGGGTTAGGAGAGTTTGTGGACTATCGAGGGATGTAAAATAGTTTGATATTGTGTGAAATAGCCTTAAGAATTAAACTGGAATGAGTGTAACATAAAAGACCTGTAATAAAATGTTTACTTTGTAATAATACATTGTAAGTCTCAATGGACAGATGTATCAGGGAATTGTTTCAACCTTTTTTTAAAATATCCATTTTTTATTTTCCAAAAGTTCCCATAAAATTAATCTGATGTGACAGTTGAAGTCTTTTAAACTTAAAAGAGTGGATTTAAATTATAAGACTTTATTCTAACAAAAGTAAATTTTCTTTCCAACTGTCAGTTTAAGTGATATTGAAATTTATATTTTTGTGTTAAGAGATAGTTTCTAAGATAGTGCCATTAAATTTTTCCTTGCTAAAATGTATGTATGGTAAGGATGCTCAAAAGGGAGTTGGAATAATGTTATTTGTAGAAGAAACTTTCCTTAAAATGTTTCAATGCATTTCAATAAGAGCTTTTGTTGAAATTAATGATGGATATCAATTTCATTTTTCACAAATGTCAAAATTTTTATTCTTTCTTGCCCCCAAAAGAAGGGCGAGAGGATTTATATATATTTTCGTGTATACAAATGTAGTATTTGCTTTTAAAAGATCATTTATCAGTGGTTTTAAATAACGGCACAGGAGAGGTTTTCAATCTCAGAAATTGATTTAAGAATCTTGAATTTGTTTTGCCAGTCATCAATTGCTAAGCAGATGAACAGTTAGAAGGTTTAGTTAGAGGTAGGGAAATGTATTGGGTTGAAAGGCATTGATGGCTTGGTAGAGATAACCAGCCTGAAGATGAACAAGTGTGATATGGAGAGATAGATTGTAAGCAATGACATCTCAGACGGGCCTCTATAGCACCAGCAGCTGTTCTGGAGATGGAATTTTGAAAAATTTTGACAGTCTATTTAGCAGGAAAGGCCGTTAAAACTGACATATCTTGGATGAGTTGGTTCTGATACATGTTAACCTTAAAATAGCAGCAGAAAAAAACCTTTAGCTTTCTTCTGTCCCAATTTTGAGAAATGATTTTATCGGTTCAACAATTTTCAGAATTTTGTTTTGTTAAAATTGGGTTTGAATTCACTTTTGGTACATATCATTTCCATCAGAAGTAAAACCTCTATAGAATAATATTAGAATTAATACACATCTTAAAATTTGGGCTTAACTTATAAAAGAGCTACTTTATATAAATTATTTCACTGTTACTACGTTGTAAAACAACACAAATATTTATCAGACACTCTAATTAAAAATTTTTTCTGTACTTTTATTTTATACAAAAAATAAGGAAACATTCATATATGATGTCAATCAACCTTGGATACAATTATGTTCAATATTCTGTCTATATAAATGTTTTTGGTTCCGTACATGTAACAGTAGATGGATTAATTGATCCAGGTAACAGTAGTGTATAGTTATCTCCCCTTTGATAGTTGGAGACAGTGCCAAGTCGTGAAGGAAGTTACTGTAAAGTACACGAAAATTCTGGTGTTGCAATAAAAAATTTAAATATTTAACCACATAATTTGTAAAAGTGAATTTGTAGAAGTGAATTCTTGCTTTTTTCCTCTGTACTTAAATTCCTGTGTGGATAATTTTGCTGCCCAGGTCAAAATGTGAAACGTGGGCTTCTTAGGATCCGCTGACAACGTTAGGGTCATATATGTGACCTTTATCTAGAGCTTAAAATGAAATATCAAAGCATCCCTTAAATGTATCTTTAATCTGTAAGCTATATTGTACACACATATTACTGTCTCGAGGAAGTTGAAGGTGAAAGTGTACTGTGTGTTTAGCTAGTCATGTTTGCTCTCCATTATCAGTTAAATTTTCATCCCTAGTTATGATAAAACTTTATGATTTGAAGTTTTGCTTTGTTTCCCCAGCTTTTCCCATTAGTAGAGGATAGTCTAGTCAAATATCTTAGATTTTGTGGTATTAGAGCGGTGTGTAATGGATACAAATGATCACATTTGGTCAACGAAACATCTCCTGTCTCAAAGATGCAGGGATATGTCTGTAATATTCAAACACGAAAATTCCTCCACTGTCCCCATGGTATTGACACTATATGGGGAGGATGACACACCGGACCTATTTTAACTTTCATCCTTGTTCCTGTGTGATTAATCAACAGACAAACTTGTATATTATCTTGTGATAACACCCTGCTAACTCTACATAAAAAGGGAAAAAAATATTTATAAGAAAATGTAGAGATTACTCTTGTGTACTGATAAGTTCAGCGTTGACTCAATGGTTGCCAAGCAAATTATAACCTAGTAAAAGTATTACACACCGATATCATCATAATTTATAGCTGTATTCAATTCATATTTAAAAAGAACCGGGAAGTCCTAAATTATTCTGGGCAAGATATGTAACATAATTTATGTAAATAGTAAGACAAGTCCGAAGGTTCTGTGCTAACCGGTGTCTCTCCACTCGTATCCCAGTAACAGTAACAGCTATCCACTGATTTATACTGTTTATTATTGATATTTTAGAAAATGAAATAACTTGTTGGTTGGCCGAGGGTCACCCAGAAAGATCTGTTATCCCAACTAAATATCAAGATATTTGTACAGGGCGTGATTATTACAATAGATTGGTGTGGGAATTTAAAAAACCCTCAAATGTGGTACAAACATAAAAAAAATTACAGTTATTGATATTGGCAATTCTTTTGTGTCATTTTAACTTTTATAATTCACCAAAAGGAAAGTGATGTATAGAGTAAAGATACCTGTTTGTGTCATACAATGTGTAATTAATGAAGTTCAGTTACAAAAAACTTGTCAGATTTCTTTGCTAAACCGGTGCGAATAGATTTAAAAACTTTGGTGGTCGGATCAGATTTCACGTTCTGTTGAGGAGATATTTGTACCATATCAACAGAAAAGAGATTCTTAAACCACCAAATAATGACCTTCTACTATTTCTGACCTTGAGTCAGATCTTGCCTCGGGTATGTGTAGCTCTATTGAGTTGAACACTGATGACACCTATATGATATCAAAGGAAAAATATCATAATCTGTCAAATATTGACCAAGTATATAATTATTATGCGAACTAAATGAGATTTTAAGTTAGATTTTTTTCACAGTAATCGATTGTCATGTAGATGAATGCCTTATCTGACCTTGTCACAATCCCTCCCTCTCTTATCTTATCTTAATTATATCTTTTTAAAATTGCAGGTGCAATTTCAGAACACAAACAAACAGTGATTGTTTACCTTAGCCTAAATACAACATGATTAAACTGACAATCTATCGATTAGA